TTTTTTTTTTGAGACAAAGTCTCACTTCTCACTCTGCCATCCTGGGTAGAGTGCTGTGGCATCATCATAGCTCACAGCGACCTCAAACTCTTGAGCTCAAGTGATCCTCCTGCCTCAGCCTCCTTAGTAGCTGGGTCTACAGGTGCCTACCACAATGCCTGGCTAGCTTTTCTATTTTTAGTAGAGACGGGGGTCTCACTCTTGCTCGGCCTGGTCTCAGAACTCCTGGCCTCAAGTGAAAGACCTGCCTCAACTTCCCAGAGTGCTAGGATTACAGCCACTGCACCCAGCCTGAATCTTTTTTCTTTGTTTTGCATGAACACGTCCAGTTGTCCCAACACCATGTGTTGAAAAGACTGTCTTTTCTCTATCATAGCGCCTCTGCTCCTGTGTCAAAGACCAGTTGGCCGTGCTTGTGTGAGTGTTTTGAAGGCTCTGTTCTGTTCCATTGATGGTTAGAACATTCTTCCTCCAGGACCGTACTATCTTGATTATTGTAGATGACTGTAGCTTTTAGTCTTGCAGTGTCAGCTCTCTACTTTGTTCTTGCAAGGTCAGACAATTAAGTTTATGAGCTGGTCCTTGAAAAGGTGCTACACACCTCATTGCTGAACATCACTAGGGTCACCTTCAAGGTGCTCCCCTTGGGAAGCTGTGCACAGACACCAGCACCTACCTGGTCCACGTCCAAAGGAATTTTGGAATTCTTTTTCTGGAATGGCCATGATAGCTGCCATCCTATGAGGTTTAACAATTAAGGTCAAGAACTCATCCTAGTAAAAGTGCTGTGAAGGGTGGCCTAGGTGTTGGCACAAGTGCAGAGCTCCGCCAGGGAAGTGCTTCAAGGGTGACTGTGGCGATATTCAGCAATGAAACGTGTAGTGTTTCTTCTAGAATGAACTTGTGAACTTAATTGTCAGACCTTGTATCTTTTAGTATTTTGTTAGCTAGTTTGGGTATTTTGCCTCTTCTTATAAACTTTGGAATTAGTTTGTTGAAATATGTACACAAAATAACTTCCTGAGATTTGACTGGGATCGGTTAGAATGTGCAGATGAGTTGGGAAGTGTGTTCCCACAAAATAACTTCCCGAGATTTTGACTGGGATCGGTTAGAATGTGCAGGTGAGTTGGGAAGTGTGTTCCCACAAAATAACTTCCCGAGATTTGACTGGGATCGGTTAGAATGTGTAGATGAGTTGGGAAGTGTATTCTCACAAAATAACTTCCTGAGATTTGACTGGGATCGGTTAGAATGTGCGGGTGAGTTGGGAAGTGTATTCTCACAAA